TAAAAAAATATAATACTAATTAGTTTGTTAGAAATGTGATAATGAAAACCAAGATAAAATGAAATTTACCCAAAAAAATTGTTTGGAATCTTTTCCTTTAAATGTTTGAATTTACAAATTTAATACCGAAATTCTATTATATCACATAAGGAAAAAATAAATAATAAACGTTTATTAATATATTAAAATATGTAATTTTGAATTTCATATAAAGTAAAAGGTATGCTTATTCAAATTTATTTTTAAAATAAAAGTTATGATAAACATTTATTGATTCTCTTTCAAATATATTAATAAAATAAAAATATAAATCTAAACAAATATTGCAACAACCAAAAAAATCAGATTGATTGGCATAAAAAAGGAAGTGAAATCGGATTTGAATGCTAAAATCGGAACACCTTACCAAATTGAATGCTAAAATATTCGATTTGATTGGTTACCTAATTGCATGGGCTGAAAAAATTCAAAAAAAAATTTTACGAATTGAAGAAACGGGAAAACACTATATTGAAGCGGGAAAACGAAATGATTATTTTCGAATTGTTCAAATAATTTTTCTTCTCCGTATTATATAGTAATAGATACGTACTTTTAAATTTAATTATTGTATTTAAATTAAAGAAATGGCATAAGTAGTAACAATCAGTTCTAAAAGAAAATGTGGCCCAAATTTTTTATATTGTATGAAATTAGAGTTTGAATTTTAATAATTATCAACTAAATTTTAATTTTAATTATAGATTTGAGTTGTTTTCAACACACAAACATACTTTTACAATTTAGTTTACAATTTAAATTATCTACTAATTTTACTATTTGGTATATAGACGTGAATCAAAATATGATTTTAAGTAACGGATTTACATACTTATAATAAAAATAATATATTTAATATAAATTATTTAATGAAAACTGAATCAATATTAGTTACAATCATGCTAAATGTTAGTAAATTTTATTTTACTAGTTCAAAAAATAAAAACTGAAGTTTCAAAATATATAATCTACATATTATTTTGATTGATAATATAAATATAATGAAACTAAAAAATAATATTTAAAAGTGCTTCTCAGTTTCAAGATTTCATTAAATATTCATATTATCAATCAAATTTAAATTATATATTTTTAGAGTTTATTTTTCAAACATAAACTTTTAAAATAAAGTTATTAAACTTTTGCAAAAGTAACTTTTGTGGATTTCTTTTATTAGGATAATTTTACTAATGATATTTAATATATATTTTTTTTCATAATGAATTCCTCTATGACTTCACTTCGCTTCGCTTCATTCGTTGCGTCGTAGATAAGTATGCAAAATATAAATTATATTAAAATAATATTTTAGTTCACATAATTCTTTTAGTTTTCGAGGTTTCGTGTGGTTGTTTTTTTCTTGTCTGCAGGGCATATGACCGAGGAGCTCAATTAACCCAAAATACCCAATTCCCTCCTCGTACGACTATTTTTGAGACAATGGGTCGAGATATGACTCGGGGTATTATGGCCAGACAATTTCCTATTCTCAAGAGCAACAATGGGATGGTCAAACAAGCACAATGTGGCTTGTAGATGCTTATTCGATTCCAGTTGGGCATTTTTATGAATCTCACAAGGATTCCTCGAGTATAGTACAAAGCTCAACCGAATTCTCGCCATTGTCACATCCTGAGTTGCTCTGGAGGAGGAGACTAAATCTAGAAGTACTCAGACGAGTGCCCAAATGTACAAATTAATGGAGTGCATTCAAGTTTTAGAATCTCCTGTCGATAAGTCCATGGTCGTGGATCCCCACCCCGAGTCTGTGCCATTCTATGAGCCAAAGGAGGATTCTTCAGGGGTAGTCCTAAACATGATCTCCTTCTTTCTTGAGTGATAGTCCAAGCATCTCGAGATGAGGAGATTGGGGATAGATGTGCTCGTTTGAGCGTGCACTAGAAGAGTGAATGGGGCGCATTTAATACATTGTAACGCAACTCGATGAGCCTATTGCCGGTGAACCTTCTCCCACGCTTGGTGCTTGCAATGGCATATGGGTGAGACTGGAGAAAAGAAAGATGCGCTCCCACAAAACGAGAGTGATATTCTGTTAGAGGAGGTTCTTGATTCCAAGTTGAAAAATCCTCAATTGAGTCGTCATTATGTACCACTAAGAAGGCCGAATTTGCCTCGACTTGCTCCACATATGTTTTCATATTTCCAGAGGTCGACTATGGATCTTTGATGCAAAAGGATCTAGACACTTCTTGGACATCGTCGGTATCCATGCTCACTTCCAAAAGAACATAGCCACCCGAGCTCAAAGTGTCACCTTCATGCCCCACTTCCGATGCTTACACTTTTAGAGAATACGAAGATGTGGCATGATCGCCATTTTTTTTGGATCTCGGCTGATTTTGACATTGATTTCGTCAAGTTAATGACGTTAAACAAGTACTTCTTGAAAGGCAACCCGAGTTCCATTTGCTATTTTCTTAGCTTCTTTTGTTTTTTGCTTTTTAGATTTACTTTTGAATAAATGGTGGTTTTGGTGTCTTGTTTGATTGTATTGACAGGTACATGGCTCGAAGGTGTGATGGCGTATGGGAGGAACATTTGGACATGCTTTATCACTTTTGTGGCCACACTCGAACATCTACATCATAGTTTGAGTTTGCATTTTTCTACCCATTTTCTTCATTTCGTGTCATTTTTTAGTTATGTGTTATTTTTCTTTTGAGTTGTGTGTTTTTATGTTTGCTGCTAGTACTTTTTTTTTTTTTCTCGGAACGATAGATGATATTATAAATCCAAATGCACAAATGTGTGAATACACAAATACACAGCAGTCAACGGCTGAAAAAGTGGGAGGACAGGTCAGAAGACCGCCTCGATGTCCGTCGCTACCAAAGCTAGACTAACAACACACAAACAACCTCACAATCAAAAGACTAAAAAAAAGATCCCACCAGGATAATACCCGAGTGTCTGATCCCAATGTGATAGTAAGATGCTGCTAGTACTTATGCATAATATAAAATTGCAAGGTTCATTTACATCCCGAGTTATTTGTTGAAGCAATGAGGACATTGCATCAAGTGTGGGGGAAGTTTTTTTGGATTTTGCATGTTTTATATGGTGGATTGGTCTAATTGTTCTAGTTTTTTTTTTTCCTTTTTTTTTTCCATTTACTTGGTGGAGTGGTCTAATTTTTAGGAATTTATGTGTTTATGTTGACTCCCCTACGTGGTGTATGATGCTTGGTCGATATGTTATCTTGACGCTTGGGATGACATCTTTATTCATTTTGATTGTCATATCGTGTTTGATTTGATAAATTGAACCCTGGTATTCGAAGTCGTTAGATGACTTGTTGGTGTGAGACATATGACATGGGTCAGTTGTTTGGTTTTGTCCCTTGTGATAGCCCGATTGGTCAATGCCCTAAGCGAGTCTTCTTTTTAGGTTTTGTATTGTTGTTGCCTATGTTAAGTTTAATTTATCTCTCTTCAGTTTTTCCATAAATAAACAAAAAAACAAGAAAGTCAAAAATCTCGTGGAGCCTAAAGAATTAAACTCCAAGTGCTCTGATTACTATTTTATTGGTCTCGAGTAATGAGTACAAAATACTGGTCTAGGAGAAGCGGGCTTTAAACTAGAAGGATAAACCTAGATAAAATGTTCAAAAGGTTTTCGCTCGAAAAAAATTCTTAAAAGAAATAATAATAAAACAATATGGGCTTTGCATGAGTTGGAAGGTTTTCCTCCATGTACCTCAAGCACATGTGGTAATGAGCACGAAGTTCGATTTAGAAAACTCGGTGAAACCCCTCTATGGATAAATCTAGAT